AGTTAGTATATACTTTTACAGTTCAATCTACAGGACCCACATGGTGGAAGAAAAGAACCAATTTTCCTCAAGATTTCCTCTCACTGCTTGAACACACTCCCCCCCCCCTCTCTCTCTCTCTCTCCCTCCCTCCCTCCCTCCCTCCCTCTCTCTCTCTTTCTTACACACACACCACACGCACACACACACACTGAGAGAGAGAGAGAGAGACAGACAGACAGACAGACAGACAGACAGAGACACAGACATCCACATACATCCACAAAAATAAATAATAAATGTAATATTATTATTTAAACTTTTGAATGAAGAATTAGTGTGTTTTGTGCATGTCTTATGCCTACTTAATACTAATATCAAAATTCTATACTCCCTGGGGCAACATTGTAAACATAATTCTATTTTCAAGTAATTAAACCTTTCAGTGTGCATACTTGTATGAAGATGAAGATAGATATTTTTAAAGTTTCTATAAGAGCAAAACTAGGAAAGAAATAACCACATGAATTGCAAAACAGTATATCTAGCCTCAAAGATGCTAATTCAGGTCCAGGGGGATCTAATCAACCTCTTTGTTGAAGTAAAGATAAAACTTTTTGACAGCAAATGCTATTCTGATAAAATGGAATTTTCAATTACTCTATGAACATCTGGTCAAAGATACAGTTTCTGGAGCCCAGCAGCATACTGCTTTGCAATGTCACAAAATATTCTCCACTGAGATCTCCCTGTTTTGCCAAGAGATTAATTGAAATGAGTGTTTGAAAATTTAGTGAGGTGAAAGGTAAGTCAGGGGGATAGATAAGGAGATAAAGAAAGATGTTCAGTCATTGAATCCTAATTTCATTAAAAGACTTGAGGAAATGAAATTCCACACTGTTGGTAGAGTGTTGAGTATAAACATCTTAATATACTTGTGGTTGACACTAGTCTATGTATGAAATGAATACTATGGGACATCTTCACGGCAATGGTGTAGCAGCAGTCACATTAGTTGTACACCAAGGTCTTCTGATCCATATTTTACACGGAAAATATGTTAAGTAATATTTATGTGATGAGCCTTGTAAATAATTAAGTTAAGCAAAACACAGAACTTAACTTCTTCCCTAAATGAAGCAATGATTATCTTGCATTTGAGTGTGCTTGGATGTGAAAAGCAAATCAACATCACTGATGGACATCACTGTAAGTTTCTGTGTATTGCTTCTATTTGGTACCAATTAGTATAGGAAGGAAACCAACTCAGTGTTGTAGTAAACTCCAAATTAGGTGCATATTAGAGCAATTATAGTTATCTTCTCAGTAGATGAATTTATAATCGATAATTAAAATCATAAGTAAATTGAGTGTGATTTGAAACAAATTACTTGGAACTAGTGTGCAGTTCTAAGATATGATACCCATAAACTTTAGTTTCATATCTATATTATACATTATAGCATAATGCAATATCCACATCACCATAAATAGCCTTGCAAAAAAAGAAAGAGGGGAGCAAGAGATCTACTAAGGCCAGCACTACTCATCTCAGAGAAAAATTGGCTAAGGAGAGATTCAGTCTGCTAATATCCTCAATTATGCAACAAAATCAGGAGCCTCGGTCATTGTTCGCTACCCTATTAGCAATTTTAGGCATTAAAGAAGTCAACATTCTTATCTTCTCAGGAAAATGATAAATTTATTGAATAAAATCAGATAGGGAATGCATTGGTTAAGAGATGTGATTTTGATGTCCAAGCTCAGCATAAACTCACTCCAAGACCCAAGTCAGAAAAGAAGCTTGCCAAATGTGGTAACACGGGTTCTCAAGGTGCTTTGAGACCAATTGAGAGATAATATTCTAAACAGTATCATGTGTCAAGAGGAAGCTTAGGTTAAAGAACATCTTCCTTTCCAGAACGTCACAAGATCCCCAGGATGGGGTACAAACCTACAGAAGCCATATTAATTTATGGACATGATGGATGGCAAATAAAGCTGGAGTTGTGTGGCAACCAGGGAATTAAGCTCAACAAGTTCACCCACCTACTGACCTGGTTTCAAACTTGTTAAGAGAGATGCCATGGTTTAGGATGATGTAGAAAGCAGATTCTCTTCATCCCTTTGTTGGCATTCTGACCCAGATCACAAATATGTTCTTGTGAAGTAAACAAAATACAATCCAAACTCTCCAGTAACTAAATATCTGGGTTTTGTCCTTTGAATTTGAAAGTCTTTTAAGTAGTATCCTTCCCTCACTGAACATAGTAATTCTCGAGTTTCTTTGCCTAGGATGACTCTCATAGAAAAGCTACTGAAAACTAAGACATTGGGCATTCACTAGTCATTCCCTCTGAGCATTCATATGCTGAAGTAAAGTTATAAAAACAAATACTGAAGGTACTTAAGGCAGTTCAGTGAAGCCTAGGGCTCCAGTATCCATCAAAAGGAGTGGACCAAATATAATCTGCACCATCTTAAATACTGACAGTACAATGAGATCATATAACAAGCCATTTCTGCCAGTTCAAGGAAAAAAAATCATTGCTATATAGAAATCCTTTTCAGTTTAACATTCCTGGGATTCCCCATGAAATACATGTTCCCATGTGTACAGAGAGGTAATGCTAATATTGAAAGTAGAACTGTCATAATTAAAACCCTCAGTTACGGCATCCAAGATGAGCCAAACTCCCCAATACAGTGGTGTAAGACTTTATTTCCCCTTCGTTGATTGTATTTGGTATGTTGTTGCAATGGTTCTCACAAACAAAAAGAAGTATTAGATTCAGAGTTTTGTCTAAAGAGTTCAAGACCAGGATTGTACGGTAAATTCTCCTAGTGAGTACGTTTCAACTAGTGACCCTTAGCATAAAGTAAGATACATTTACATGAATACAGTTTTGAGACAATAAATACTATAAAATGTAAATGGTTGGAATCAGTTATTTTTTTTCTTTTTTTTATTTGTTTGGTTTTGGTTTGAGTTTGGTGGTTTTTTGTTCTTTTTCATTATTTTGAGTACTAACAACCAACCCAAGTTAGCAGGTGACACAATTCTTGCAGAAAGCCTGGGGCTGGTTTAGAATACACAGCTATGTATTATTATAAAATCATCATAAGTTGTTGGGTATCACAAGGTAAAGACTGAGATTTAAACAAGAGTACAATTTCTTTTGTCACTCAAACTCAAAAGAACCAGTTCAAGGGTTGGTTCAGAGTTTAACCATTGCTGGAAAAATAGAAAAAATGAAATTATAGGCTTGTAAATCAAATATACACAAAAAAAGATGTTGCCAAAATGGTATCGCAAAGAAAAATGTGTCTATGTGCATGAATGTGTGTGAAATCATCAATTTTTATGTAAGAGAATCTTTGGATACTGTCACATATTCATTTTCTAATATTCTTGCTGTTATTCAGTCTACACAGTACATAAGGCAACCCATTTGTAAGAAACACTCAGAACATCTAGCTGCAACCCACTGATACTGTTTTCCAGAGAAATGTGACAAAAAATTAAAACAGATGTTGGTCTAGCCAGGCATAAAGTGAGAATCAATTATGGTGATTTTCTTTCCTGAAGTAATTTCATTTTAGAGAGCATCTAAGAAAAAACCTTTCTGATCTAAATGAAGAAAGCCTTTCTTTGAGATACACATGAGTAGGAAATGATACATATCTGTCTGCATCCTCTGAGAATTAAATTGCCTCTGTTTCAGCTATATAAATGTTTAATTTTTTCATCCTCAGTCATATAGTAAGGTTTCCCAGAAAGTATATTATCTCTGCAGATGTCACCACTCGACAATTAAGGAAAGAAGCAGGGTACAATTGGAAATGACCTCTCTATATTATAGACTTTGACACTTGAATCCCCTGAGGAGGGAATGGATTAGACAATTTAATAGAATTTATACTGGCTAATTTTTTTCCATGAAAAACATTTTGTTTTGTGAATCAGGCATTTTTTGGATTCATTTAGAAAACCAAAACAAAGGAGTTTAATGATGTTTACAGTGAAATGAGACAGCTGAAGACCAGAACGTAATCACCATATTTTGTTTTCTCATCTTTAAGACTTTTAGCAGTAGGGCTTCCAGCTGAGCATGAGACTAGCTTTTCTCAAGACATAGCCAAGCATTCTGAAGCTTCACTGAGCCTAAACACCAAATTGAATTCATACTTCTTAATTGGAAAAGACAGGCTGGTTGCATACTATGTTTACATCAGTAAAATATTGAAATTGACATTTGTGCCCAAGTCCATATGAACAATCTGCCTCAGCTAAACTCTGCTAGTGTTTTAATACCCTGGTTTCTGCCTAGCACAGTTTTAAAGAGCACATCTTCCCAAGATTTCTTGTATATGGGTTCATAAAAATGGATTCTCTTCATACATGAGGATGTGGCTCCTCACATGTGCTTTGAGACTCATTTCACATTAATAAAAGGGTTTGTATTGGCTCACAATCTTTTAGCCTGCCTCCCCTGTAACCAATGCCATAGACTTCTGCGGTAGCTCTGTGGCTTTAGAATAGCAACTCTGTGGGCAAAATGGAAAGTCTAGCACTTTGTATCCCCAGGAAAGACTACATGATCTGTGAGCAGAGAACAGTCTCTGGGGTAAGTTAATCAGACTAGTAGAGAAAGAAACCCCACCTCTCTGGTCTCATTGGAGCTATGTTCTATGCAATTTAATTGATCAGCTGAATCCATGCACTATAGCATAAACAGTCATTTATTCCTGGTGAGAAAGCATCTGCTTACTTCCTATGTGCTCAGTGCAGTTATTATTAAAGAGAATGTGGATGCAGTCAGCTTATAAAATGCCCCAACCTTATACAAAGAGGTACACTTACCCCAGTAGAAGTTGTACATCTCAAAAATTCTCTAGATGCTGCTAACATGTGAACAAACTAATAATATACCCAAGGCAGTAAAGTAGTACAATGAGTCTAGAAAGACTCTGGATTCTTTGGAGCATATAGTTTCAACTTAAAATTGTCCAGCCCTTACCATGGTCAGGCATCTGAGATCCCATGGAGGTCACACTGGTGTTCAGAACATCATTCACAGCAGTATCGCAGTACAGGCTCCTCTGGACATCATGCTCACTGTCAGTCTGGTCACTCTCCTCATGCCCACTATCCTTCAGGCTGTTGCCCTCTAGGTCCTTGAAGGTGGAGCTGCTGGGTTGAAGAAAGTATGTTAATTTACAACTGTGATAGATCTGACTTCTAAAATCTTTCCTAGCCAGGATGATGTCAGCTCTGTAAGGAGGCCAGCAGTGGCTACATTGTCCAAAATGGTAGAAATATGAAGAAGAGACATTTCTGTTAGAAGATAATAGAATTGAACAATAAAAAGAGGTTCTCAATATTGGATACTGATACAGCTAGTATGTTCATTTGCTTATTTTTAGTGCTTCAACGCAGGCAAGGTGTCTGGAGATCGAAATCTAAAAACATTCCTAAAGAATATCACAATTTCGGGGTTTTTTCCCGTTCTTATACAATTAAAGTCAAAGAGAAATAGTTAATGTTTTCTGAGAAATTACTGTTCATGAGTTACTGTTTTAAGAGATCAACATTAACTTTTTAAGTCGTATTGGCTGTATAAAGAAACGATGCTAATAATATTCTTATTTATACATGAGACGACAGAGTTTTATAGAAGTTAAATAACTTGCACAAGGTCACACGGATGACAAAACAAAACAGGACAAAACAAATGTAGCACATCTAACACCAAACTCAGCTTGTCAAATGTCAGTGGTTAAAACTTTTTCTCTATAGATATCTACTAATCATCAACTATAAAAAGCAAAAATGGCAGAAATTGAGGTAGTGTAAAAAATTAAAAGGATGATCAGGTTGAAGTCTCCTGCTTCTTTGATTGCTTGGTCTGTTTTTGTTGAAACAGTGTCTCATTCTGTACCCCAGGCTGACCAGGACCTTGATATGTAGTCAACATTGGCCTTTGAACTTGTGATAAGCCCCTTCTTCAGCCTCCTCCTGCATCCTGGGATTACAAGCCTAAAATACTACATCTGGCTCCCCTGTCAGTTTTGAGTAAAAAAATGACGGAGGGACCAAAAAAAAAAAAAAAGGATGTCTGGCTGTAGCTGAGGAAATCATTGGTGCACAGAATGGGTTTGGTCTAATTTTATGTGTCTATTTGGTTGGGAAAAAGGGTGATCCAGGTAGCTAGTTACGCCTTATTTCAGAATGTGGCTTTGAGTGTGTTAGCTGAAGAGATTAGCATTTAGATTGAAGAACTGAGTAAAGCATGTATCTTTCCCCAGTGTTGGTAGGATTCATCCAATCCATTGAAGACGTCCTGAAAAGAACAATAAGCAAAAGGTTGAATATCCTTTCTACTTGAACTGGGACATCAATATTCTCCCATATTCAGAACTCCTCATTTTCAGGCTTCCAGGCTCAGACTAGAATCTCTACAACTGAGTCTCTAATTCTCAGGATTTTAAATTATACCATTGGCTGCTCTAGCCTTCTTGTATATTGATGACCAAGCACAAAATTTCAGAAAACTACAACTACATGAATCAATGTTCCAAACTTTGAACATTCACAGGTCTGCCTCTCAGAGACCTTAAAAAGTTCACTGCATATGGTGAGAGCTATGCCATGGACCAAGGACACTCTGTTACTCTGCCCATTTGTCCTAGAGGAAGCCTAAAAATTAACACATGACCAACCTAGATGGTGACTGCTTGGTGAGATAAACATAAAAAGTGAAAGATCAAGAGAGAAGTAACTGGAAAGCCATGCTTATAAGAAAATGAGGAGTCTGATAATGATAATGTCCTGTTAGTTAATTATTACAGAAAACACATCTGAGCATTAAAGTCATTAAAATCCAAATCACTCAACAGGCCACTTTATTCAAATTATGTCACAGACATAGCTCGGTCCAATCAACCTTCCAGGACATAAGTCTATTCAGGAAAATCCTATAATTCTTTTATGGTCAAAAAAAAAAACAATTGGAAACTCATGATTTAAAGATTTTTTTTACCATTTCTAGACACAGATTCAATGGTTTCCTGTGTATACTAATCGAACCTTTAAATAGATTCAAAGTTTATAATTTAGAAACAAAAATTGGCCCTGCCTACAGGCACTCATAATACCTCAAGAGAGAACCAATGACCTGCCTGCATGATATTACAGACTGTTCCATTTTTATGATAAATATTAGCTTTCAACCTATATTATCTGGTTGTGAAACATAATGAAAAGTTCTTTATATTTTTAGTACAAAAACTACCATGTTAAGCCAAAGAACTCAAGGCTAAATTGAATGCATTTCAGTAGTTGCCAAAATTTGCTTGAGTTATATGATAGTGAATGAAATAGTCTAAAGACAAATGTAATTGGCCATCCCTTAGAGTAGGGCTTCTTAATCTTGGTACTATTGAATTTTAAGGTCACATAATTCTTTGTTGTGTACATCCTGTGCATTATGAAATGTTTAATGGGTCTTTTGGCCTTTGCCCATTAGTTGACAGTGATAACCACAACGAAGTTTAACAATTAAAAATCTCTCCAGGGAGACACTGCAAATCACCCTCAGTTGAGAACAACTGTTCTACATTATTTCACCAATATTCATGTAACATGGTATGCAGAAAAAGCCCCAAAGTTGAAGTCATTAGGGTAAGTGCTAACCTGCAATCTGTGACTTTGTGTGGTTCTAGGCTCTTCATCTAATCCTTGATTTCCTTGCCTTGATAAATGCAGTTGATAAAGTCTCTCACACAAGACCACCCTAAAGACTCAATTAGATACTTTGCATGAACTGCAGGAATGCAATGGGGTATGAAGCCAGAGAGGTTGAACAGGAAGAAAAAGGGGAACTATGTATATACTTTAGGTGGAATAAAATAATCTTTCCCAAAACAAAACAAAATAAAAAATATACTTTGCATGAAAAGCCAGATAAAAATACATGTCCAAAAAAACCCATTATTTAATATGATCACTATTTTGTATTATAATGCTTAATTCACATTATAATTAAACAATATTGCTGTGGTATTTTATGGGAATGTTATAAGAATTTTATATTTATTTAATAAATTTTCCTATCTTCTGTAAACAATTGTCAGCCATTGTCCATTATGCGATTTCTCCTAAAATTCGGAAACAGAAAAATTTATCCCCTGTCAAATATATGTCCTTGCTTTATTGAATGATAAAAACTATATGACCTGACGTACTTTTCATTTTGGCTTGGCTTCTCAAAAGCTTCAAGGTAAGCATAATGTTTAATTGCGCTGAGTTATCGTCCTGGAAGCTGGTGATCTCTATCTCACTTTTCTTAATTGGTTTTAAATCTGCCTTTTTAAAATTTTGTCATCCATTTTATATGCATCAGAATGTTGCAATCTACCTCGGGGCTTCTGGGGTGGAGTTCAAGTAAAAGAAAAGATAGAAAATATTAAAACTTGGAAAGAGTAGCTACTATGATCTAAGGAACTGCTACTGTGAGCAAAAGAAGAACAATCACAAAGGTATAGCCACTACCCCTTCAAACATCAGGATGGTTAACTCATTTAAAGATCAGTTTGTCCATCTGACAAACTAAGTACCGCTTACTGTGATCTTGTAGGGACATTTAGTGGCTTAATGAATGGATTTGTGTAAGGCAGTTTAAGAACCAGTGAGCAAGAAGCTGCAAACAGTAAAACAGCCTGGTAAATGGCTACTCACCCAAAACAAATAACAATTTATGCCTGGCATAAAAATGCTGATTTCACTTGCTTTATTACCTGTGTACCTCTTGGGAGATGAGACACTTGTAAAACAACTTTTGTGGTACAATAAATTAGGGGCACCTGTTTTCAATGGTATTGTAAATGCAAATGTTTCTATTACTGCTCTGGTGGCCAGCAGAGGGACAAATTCATTTTAAAATACCTAGAGCAGAGTTCTCTACACATGTTGGATGAAAGAACGTTACACTAATACTAACCTATATGTGTCCTTTAAAATATTACTCTTGCAAAAGACAAAAGAATCTGAAAGGATACAGGTCAAATCTCTAATAGGTGATCCCACATACCTAGAGAATGTCATTTATGACTAAAAAGAGAAAGTCAAAAAGAGTATTGTAACTGGCTTTAAAGAAGTGTAATTCAGAGTGTTTTCCAGACCACTTCTGTCATTAATCACCTTGGAACCTGTTAAATATGTGTTAATATTTAGAATGTCTCTAAAGATGGAGCAGCAGACTGCCTTTCCTGATGCATACTATTATTCAGAAGTTGCAGCTTTAAAAGAAAAATTTTAATGGAAAAAATAATGTTTCCCTCTGCTCCTTTCTCTTATTTATCTGAAAAACATGTACCAAGTACTGACCACATACATGGCACTATGCCAGATGCTACAGAACTCCAGTACTATTTTGGTAGTAAAGAAAACCACTATGCATAGCTTAGAAGCCAGAATTCATTTTCTATTCTAAACTGCTTCTGATGTGTTGCTCAATTACCATTGTGTTTTCTTTGAGCTACAGCCTCATGCTCTACTTGATATGGCTCCAAAAACACTCCAGGAGTTGATATTAGCCAGCAGTGCAGAGAACAGGCTTGAGGAAAGAACATTGCAGCTGTGGAAAAAAGTAGCACAGCTGGCCTTCCTTACTTTAAGGGGATAGCAGAGATACAAATATACTGGTACTAAAATCCATCCAGAACAAAACTCCAACTCACTTAGTTTGCTAATCTGGGTTTCTCCCAGAAACCAACTTGGGTATATCCTCAGATTACAGATAATGTTGTAGAAAATATTAAACTTGGAAGATGAGATTGTAAATGTAAATGCTTCTATTACTGCTCTGGTGGCCAGCAGAGGGGCAAGTTCATCTTAAAAGACCTAGAACGGAGTTTTGAAAATATAATGTTGGAATTCTTCCATCCAGAAAACTATGGGGAATATGCCATATACCTTCCTTGTCCCCTCTAACCCATTCTTTGTGGCTTTTCAATGTTAAGTCATGTTTATGAAATCTTTTTCCCCTTTGGATTTCTATTGAGATTGCCCCCATGGATGCTAAAACAGAAATTTTTACAGTGGAAGAAGATTGATGTTAAGGTGCTAACTGTCCTATGGAATCACTCTATTATGGCCAAACCCTTCAACTGACCAGAAGGTATTATTACTCCTCCCATGTTTCTCCTAATGAGTCTTTTCAGTAGTATTTTCAACTCCTTTGTTCTTATACCAGAAGAATGAAATGCATCTTGCCCCATCATTTTTATTATTTCATAGAGGAACCATGACTTCTACAAGAAAGGACCAGAGATGGCCAGTGCTCAACTACCAAATGTAGACAGGAGTGAAAAAATAAAAAGTATCTTTGTATAAAGAATCTGGCCAGAAAAGCCCAAGACAACAATCCAAGAAATGTCCTTGGATAACTAGAAAGTAAATGTAAGATGAGAAAAATGTATAGGAAAACAAATTCTAAAAACTAGGCTGAACTTCACTTGGCATTTTAGAAAATCTGAGATTTCCTAATAAAATTAAGACTGAGGACAAGATTCGGAATTTCCTGTCCAGGAAATTTTTTCAAACAAACATGGGTCTTAAACATCTTGGTGGACAGTTGATGACTTTTCCCATGGCTTGATCCCCTTGGGATCAGTGTTAATATTAGTCACCATTGTGGTTTCCTACCGATTTTATACTTGCAGCAGTCATTCTGCAGAAAAGGATAGCACACAAAACATCCTGTTTCTTTCTGGGTATTGGAATTTGTTTAAATGCAACTGACCCCATAAAAACCTTCATGGTTTCCCAAAACCATCACAGTTCTATTAAAAAGAAACTGATAAAAATGTATGTGTGTTTCCTAGTAAATAAACTATTGTCTTTTATATTGGGCCACATCTAGAGATACTTCCTCCAGTAGCCTATTCAGTTCTAGGATACAGTTTTTGTGCACATGTGTGTATAAAAGTACATGTAAAGTAATTAATCAAAATCAGAGCTTTCCAGTGAGTCTCAAAGCTGTTGTGGAAATCCATGTATCTCCAAAGCTAAATGCTTTAACATAAATCTTTATCTCATATGTCAGCCTTGTAAGTTGGATATTTGAAGCTGATCTAAGATTTGCAGGTCCCCAGGAGTCTTAGCTTTCTAGTAGGCTATGAAAATTAGGCTTGTATTATCAATTTAACCTAGTCAGAGAATTTCCAGGTACCCAGAATGAGCTAGCTCCAGAGACCTGTAAGGATCAACCAAACCACTGTTTTTACCAGTTCAAAAAGAAGCTTTGAAAATAACAGTCCAGAAGCAGAAAACAAAGCAGTGTTTTCCTACAAAGCTCCTCTAGCCAGTACCTATAGAGAGGCTTTTTTGTTCTTCCTAAAAGAAATTACTTAGACAATTTTCAGTGCCTTACCTTTTGTTCAGGGGATTCTTCCTCAAAACTCCAAAATTTTCCAAATTATACTATGACAGGTAATACAAGTGTAACCATTTTTAAGATGACTAATGATCATCACTGAAGGTCACAAGCTATACTAAGCCAATACAGATAAATGTATCCATAGTTTTGGGGTTTAGTGCTGCATCATAAATTAAATTAGATTTGAATTTGAGTTTCTTGTATAACAAGAAAGGATTTTGTTTTCCCTTTGAATCCCACCCTTACAGTGATAGAAATTTATGGGATTACAGCCAGCAAAATAATAGAATTTTCAGATCTTCTCCACTGCAGCTCTAATATACTGTTTGCTCGTCTGCTTTCTTGCTATTATTTTAACAAACATACTCAGTGTTCAATTTTAGCTGCAGAATAATCACTGGACCATTTAAGATGCTATTTACATGAAACAGCAATAAAGGTATCATCTGAATGGTCAAGTGATGTGATACTTTTGGACCTGACATTCTCTCCTTTGTTTAGTTCTGCCTCTTTAGAGGGTTTCCTAATCTCGTTTTTTTTTTCCTCATTGCAAGAATTTAGGGCACATTATATCAATGGAATCTTCCCAATATTCACCTCTACTCTGTACTCACAATATAGCTAAGTTGTAACTAACCAATCATACAAATTTCAGATTTCATCTAAAACACTTCAAAGTGTCTTGACAAGTATTAAATTAGAAAATTTTCTTTTTGTCTCTCATCTGAAAAGCATTATAAAAGACATTTTATCTGTCATTTAAATATCTTTTAAATTTTCACAACTGTCAAAATAATAACAATTGAAAAACATACTACAAACTCTACAGGAGAACAAAAGTTGAGGCCTTCTATTATTTAAACTGGGTAGCAATAAAAATTTAGATATCACTTTGATTTTGAGAGTTTTCTAATTTTCCTTATATTAATTCCAAAATTACCAGTAAAATATCTAATCTCATCCCAAATTCATTTTTAATTTTGCATCTATTTTGATAGAAATAAATATGGTGCAAGGCCAAAAGTGATTCTCTTTGTTTGATGTAACTGGCAGTTATCCTTGCTTTCTATATTGTCTCTAAATTTCCCACACTTCCTAGCACAAGTACATAGGCATCTGTCACAGCATCCAAAAGGACATAGGTCTTGAAAATTAATGTTTTGGGTTTTTTTATTTATTAAATCAAACTCAGAAGTAGGATTGTGAAAGAAAACCAACCTACCTTTTGATTAAATGGGCACGGCTATTCACGTAGTTAGAGTCAAAAGAATAGTTTTCAGTCTGCAATGAGAAAGAAAAAGGTTAAAAATGATTCATAATAAGAGGCCAAGTGTTCTACTTAAAAGGATTGGTTTTTTATTGTGCAAAAAAACAATGAATGAGCCCAAAAGCAAAGCCATAGTTGGGCAGCAGTTTGATGACTGCCTTCTTTGGGGGTCCCCAAGTTCTCTCCAAAAGAAGCAGCCTATCTTTCGAGACCAGGGTGGAACTGATACAAATATTCTCTAGAATATGGCTGGCTACTGACCATGTAACCACTTAGAGAGAAGAGACAGTATGACTCACAATCATTACAGAAACTAATTGCTTCCCATTCCCCAGTGGAGACCATTTTATGCCCATCAAATTGAGTATAAGTTCAAAGGTATATTTATTAGAAGTAGATAATTAACATGTTAAAATATTTATTCCAAAGATATGGAAATGCGGCAAGGTAATCCCCTACTGTGGATTTAAACTCTGCACTTCCCTTTGTTTTAAGACATTTGCTCAGCATCAGTTACACAGGATGGCTTTCCTTTTATCACAGGTATAAAGGCAAACAAGTATTATGCCCAAAACAGGGTGAAGGGCAGTCCACAGGGGGTACCAAAGCCTTTCATGTGAAACATGAACTCTGCAAGCAAACCTCTGTCTTGGCTCCTATCATTAAAACACTACTGCCTAATCCAGTTACAGTAACTGGCTGCAGCAAGGGCTTTACAAAAGCAAATGCAAGGCACCTGCTAGATGAAAGAGATGGGAAAACAGCTTTTGGGAGCACGGGGAATTCTGGTAGATTGAAGGGGGACAGCTTTAGAATGGGTAGAAGCCACAGAAGCATCTAAAATGAAGTCAGTATCCTAGAAAATGTGATCTTACACCCAATGTTAAAAACACAGAATTTGCCGGGCAGTGGTGGTGTATGCCTTTAAATCCCAGCACTTGGGAGGCAGAGACAGGAAGATTTCTGAGTTCGAGGCCAGTGTGGTCTACAGAGTGAGTTCCAGGACAGCCAGGGCTATACAGAGAAACTCTGTCTCGAAACCCCACCCTCCAAAAAAACCACAGAACTTGTTGAACCTTTGTATGAACTTCAAATGCTCAAACACATCTCTTCCCCCATCCTGCCGTTTAGCCATCCCCGCCATTCTTTAGAGGCCTTCTGCAATTGCTTCAACTGAAAGTGCCTGGAAATGGAAATATAATAGCTGTCTAGAGAACAAAATAGCAGATTCTTTTCAGATGACTACCTGTCAGACATTGACTGCACTAAGCTGTTAGATGCAGTCCTTGCATTCAAAGACTCACAGTTTGATAGAGGAGAAAATGAAGCAAGTAACTGCATATCCAGCCACCACATGGACACTACACAGCCAAAAGCCAGGGCAAAGGCCCTAGATATCAAGAGTAGGTAGAAAGTTGACACTGAATAGTTGGGAGGGGAAAAAATGGAAGAGAGAAATGGAAAGGAAACAAAAATCCACCAGTGTCCTGTAGTTACTCACAGGTGTCCATGTTCCCTATACAGCTCTCACTTAAAGATAGGCTGTACAACATCTACTAAGACCGTTTTCTGTACAACATCTACTTAGACCGTTTTCATCTAAATATTTAGATACCTTCTAGCATAAACACAGGTTTTGATGATATTGAAAGAAATGGTTTTCAAGAATAAAAATTAAAAAATTGTCAGTGCATTTCTACTTTATTGATTTGTAAGTGAATGCTGAAATTGTGACAAAAGTCATTTGGTAAAGGACAAGGCAAACTTGAAACTGTGTTGGGAATATAACCTTAGTATTTACTGTAATAAGTCATTCAGTAGTCACTTAACCAACAAACATTTGCGCAAGTTCATTTTACCAACATGATGGGCAAAATGGTATTGCTGAAGTATGTTTTATTTTGTTTTATGATAGTCAGTGCAATATACAATTTAACAAGAAGTTATCATCTCCTCAAAAATCTTGCTACCCTGTCAAACCTGGGAACTAACTGAGCTCTGTGATTTACTTCTGTGTCTTACTGTACAATCTTTGTTAAGTGACTTAAATGTTCTGTGCCTCAGTTTTCTACTATGTGAAATACAAACCATAGGAACATGAATTCAAAAGAGAAAGTGATGAGATTCCACAACAACACTGCTTTCTACAGAGCTTGACACTATTAATAGAACCAGAAATTTACTTCACTTCATGAAAAAAAAATCTGTCCAAATTTACTGAATCTTTACAGGTAAAGTTAATAAATGATCAAACGAATAAACAAAACAGCCATGAATATACAAAAACACTAGGGAAAAAAGTAGAAGTTATTGACTGGCCTTGCTGAAAATCAAGAGCAACATCCCAAGCTACTATAATGTTAAGTAAAACATTTTCCAGAAGAAAATTTGTAAAGATGAAGGCATCAAGTCTGTATGCGTTGTGATGACCTGACCTCCAAGCACCATGCAAGAACCACATGTTTGAGAAGAGAAGAATAATCTTGCAAATGTTCCTAGTTTTGACACTTAAGAAAATAATCTATAGAACCAAGACGTATCACACTTGTAGTCAATGAGTAGGTAGTAGAAAAAATTCTAGAAGTCCTGGTTAAAATGACTTTTCTAATTCTCCCTCTCACCAAGGTTCACAGATTGGCTAACCGTTGACAGATGCAACAGGTATGATATGCCACTCAAGATAGAAAAATGTCATTGAACTTTATCATCTTTCTTTATCTTCCTTCTTCTTTGCACTTAATGATTAAACATCCCAGTCTTGTGAATCCTGAACTCCGAATGTAAATGTTCTATTATTCAAACCAGTAGATGGACTGTGTTACATCCTAATAAAACAAATTCTAGAACCAACTTTCTCGGAATGAATGGGGCTATACCAATTCATTCATTGTCTTCTACCTTTACAATCAGTCTCAATCCATAAAGTAGCTGAGTTGCAATTGCAGGGACACAGCAGAATCATTCACATGAGAACAGAATCCATGATTCTGGTTTCAGTACCACATTCAGAACAACTGAGTTAACTAGACATTGAAGGCTTATTTTATGATGGGCCTATATTTATTAGCACCAAGAATTATAGCTCAGGCTGAGGAGATGACCTTTGCAGATAAAGCATTTACTGTACAAGCATGAAGACTGGAGTCTATATGTCCTGAGCCCACCCAAAAGCCACCTGAGACAGGTAGCCTATCTGTAATCCTTTGGGGATTGGATACAGAGAATACCCAGGTCATGCTAACAAACCAGATTAGCTGAAATCATGAACTCTATGTTCAGTGAGGAGCATGCCTCAATGTGGAGGAGAATGACTGAGGAAGACAACTGACATCGAAGTCAGGTCTACACACATGCAAACATACCTCACACACATATACATGTACAAAGAAAGAAGTACTGGGTCCAGGTGTATACTCAAATCTAATTCTTGTACATTGACTCAATTTGTCCTCATCTGGTGGAGTATAGAGTGATATGTAGAGAACCCTGAGAAAGAACCATTTGTCATAATGAACTGAAACACCTTGCACAACTGAAAGAGTGTTTCTCAGCTCCCAGTGTACATCAGCCTCATCTCAGAAGTGTTTTTTAAAAGTACCATCTACCAAAGATGCTGCGACAATTGGCCTGGAATTCATACTACTTTTAAAGTTTCTCCAGTAAATTGAATGCACCTTCATGGCAAAGTCCAAGGGTCATGAACAAGGAACTAGCTATAGACTTTAGCCAAATATCCCATGTTTGCTAATACAAGCTAGGTTGATCATACGATAGTACTTCTGTAAGTTTATCAGTCAAAGTGATTTCAGTGTAGAATAAAGAACCACAGAAGAAACAGACGTTTTAAGAAATAACAGAGATTTCCTTTTTGTGTGAATATATTAGCTCCTGGTTAGCCTTATTTAATCAAAATTTGCTTGACATTATTCCAGTTCCATCTCTAAGTATTCTAAATGGCAAATAACATGAAACATTTGAGAGAGAAAATTTTCTCTAAATGTCACATTAATTTAACTAGAAAATGTCCCCATCTCTAATGAGACAGTCAGGTTAACACAGAAACACAGCAAAGAGACAAGAACAACATTTGTTTCTGAAAACGTAATTTTGACATTAAAAATGGGTCAAGAGCAAACTTTTATTTCTGGTCTTGATGGGAAATATGTCACTTTTAAAATCATTCAATACATTCACAAACTCTTTCTCTAACCAGAAGCCTTTTTTCCCTTAGGATTTATCAAAAGCAGATTCCTTAGTTGGTCTTGATTTAGTAAAACCTTGGTTTTTCTACAGTGTGTAAAGAATTAATATTTCTGGATAGCTAAGATGTCCAGAGGTTAGGACTTTTCCCCTTTTAGAACTGAAACAACCATAATGCTTTCTTACTTGTTTCTGAAATGTATCATCAAAATGCCCTCTTTGGAGTATAAAATCATAATAATTTAAACTTTCCTTTGTTATTTGTGGGTATCCTTCTATATATAAAATACTGAGACATGTGGGTTTAACCTGTAACTTCAGTGATCCCAAAGCCCTGTTTGGGGGCAGCTCACAGCTTTAACTTGAGAGGAACCTTACATGTTGCTGTTCCTCAAGATCCTTCTGCCATTTTACATCCGATGCTTTTACTTCACTGTGTTCTTGGAAACTTTAAAATTATATGTCCAGAAAATGAGCTAATATGTTGTGAGTACAGAACATGAAGATGTGGTTCTAAAATAAAATGTCTTAAACAATATATCTTCAATATAAGGAGTTTTGTGCAATGTTTTTGGGTTTTGTGGGACTTTTTGTCGTTTTTTGTTTTTTGTATTTTGGCTGCTTAGGCACCTTCTTTGTTTGCTACTTTCTATCCTCAGCATCTTTCTGGATATATGAAATTTGGAGTGAGACTTTAGGGTGGGTGACATGTTATGTTTCTATGTTAATAAGTCTGGCACATCCGAAGTCAAATACTTCCACTTTGTCAGGCCCTCAAGGTAGCAGAGGATGTCCTACTTTAATTGTCATTTTG